CCTCCCTCCCTTCCTCTCTCTGTCTACGTGTCTCTCTCGCGCGGGTGCGCTGTCCCACTAAGAAAACATGCAAGTGGTTGGACTCGCGTGGGCTTGCTTTGTACACGGATCGCGTCCAGCTTGTCCGTGTCTGCACGGTCTGCGCGCTCCTATTCGCGAAGCCGCCCGGCGGCGCTGCGGTGGGCGGCGGTGGGGAAGGTTCCTTTGACGTGATACATGGGCCGGCCGAAAACCTCCGCGTCGGAAGCACACGCGCTGCGTGGCGCCGTGACGGTAAAGGATTTCCCTCGCTGTGCTCAGGCCGAGGCCAACCCGGCGCCCGCCTGGCTGTCCGCGCGAGCCTGGGCGGAGCTGCTCGCCATGCGCAGGCTGGAGAGGCTTAGGGAGTTCGCCGAGTCCGTGCCCAAGGACATCGACCGCTATAAGGCCATCTTCGACTCGCCGCAGCCCCACAGGTAAGTTAAGTTTGACCCTGCCCCTTGCCCAGTGTTCCTCCTTCCAGAGGGCTTCGTTCGTGCCAGGTCAACTTTAGTTTCTGTATATCCTATAGCTGAGGGAATGCGATGAAAAGCGGGCAGAGAACACACACACTTTCCTAATTTTGCCGAGACTCGCTTTGCACCCTTCTCTTCCCTCACATGACAAAGCGACAAGCCGGGGACCTTTTGTTCTACCTGCTATTCCGCATTTCTGCCGCAAGGGAGCCGCTGTCGGAACCGTGGCAGTCTAGGCTAGACGGCTTCCAGCGGCTGCTGCTGCTGCGCGCGCTGCGCCCGGACAAGCTCACTGAGGGGCTGCAGGACTGGCTGAGCCGCATGCTCGGCCCGCGGTTTGTCGAGCCACAGGCCACGGACGTGGCGACCATGTTCAAGGACGCCTCGGCCGCCATCCCGCTCGTGTTCGTGCTGTCCACCGGCACCGACCCCGCTCAGGAACTCTTTTCGTTCGCCGACAAGGTAAGTCGAACAGTTCATGCATATCAATAAGTCCCCAAATATATATATATATGACTAGCGAAAGTGTCCAAAAAGTATACTGAAAGTTTACTTAAAGTATACAAAAAGTATTTAAAACGTATGCAAAAAGTGTTATCAAAGTGTGGCCGTCCCTATCTTCTACACATTACTTTATGTATACCCTTTCCAAAGTACACATGAAAGTGTTATTTCGATATACTTGTTTTTTCCAAGGGTTCTCGCCGCCACGTCAATGGTGTTCTACGTTAATTAATAGTATTTACTTTGTCTCGACTACAAGCAAGTGGAGGGAATCTCTGGGCTTACAGGGGAGTTGTCGTCCTGTGGATGGCGTGGCTTTGCGTAAGGGCGAGTGGCTGGGTTTAAACGTCGAGGGGGGAGGGTGGGGGGCTGGGGGCGGTAAGGGGCCTCATGATGATTGCCCTCGGGGAGCCATCAGGAAGCCCCGCGCGGTTCACGCGCCGCCGCTTCGCCGGCCCTCTGCCCGCTGGGGGCCTGGCCTGGGTGCGAGTGGGAAGGGGAGAGGGAGAGGGAGAGAGGGGTCCTCCTACAGTCTCCCCCATCTACTCGAGCTGCCACGCGCGCGCTGCGCCCCCGCAGGCCGGCCCCGGCTTGCCCCCGGCCCGCCCCAG